AGAAACTCTTCCTGTTGGAAAATGCCAAGCTGGCCGCCTTGGCCCCGCCGGAGAAGTTTCCCAACCCCCAGTACCCCCACAAGGAGCGCCTCCCGGGGCAGCTGGACCAGGTGATGAAGGAGAACTCCAGCCTGGCCGGCGACAGGCCCAGCGGGAAAGCCCACCACGCCAAGCTGGGCGGCGGGTCAGGAGCGGGAGGCGGCGGAGGCGGCACCTCGGCCGACGGAAAGCCCAAAAACTTCACCTGCGAAGTGTGCGGCAAGGTACGGGGCGTTTTCCTCGGCTTAATGGGAAGAGAGGGCCATCCCTAGGCTTCTCCATCACTCCTGTTGTGACCCACACTAGCCATTCTTAATTATTACGCGGTTGTGCTGAGAACTGAATTGGGGCTGTTCGCGCAGGGCTCTTACATTGATCCGCCAGGCCATCCTGTGCAAAACCTCGTTTCAAACTCCCCCCACCCCGCAACGCCCCGCGCGCGCGCACACTCCTCGTCCGGGCCACCTTGCAGTCTTCGGCGGACTGGCGGTTTATAAATCGCCAAATAGGATAAACAAACAAATCTCTGCGCTCCCAGCTGGGTCGCCTAAGGCTGGCACCCCCGGCCTCGCAGTAACGTTCCTGGTCCCGTTTTACAGGGGGTGGGAGGCGGCCCCGAGGTTAAGGCGAAGAGATCGTGGTCCAGAGGGCATTAAAACGAAACCTTTCAGCCGCCTTCGGGCTGGCCGGTTTAGGGCGTCTAAACGTGGCGAGAGCCCCGCTGTTGGGCCTAAAAAGTTCCCTGCCTTGTCTTTCTCTGTAGGTGTTCAACGCCCATTATAACCTAACCCGGCACATGCCTGTTCACACCGGAGCCAGGCCCTTCGTGTGCAAAGTTTGTGGGAAAGGCTTCCGCCAGGCCAGCACGCTCTGTAGGCATAAAATCATCCATACGCAGGTACGCTGGGTCTTCGAAGAGATACCCGTCCGATGGGTGTGTATTTCCGTTTCCTTAAAAAAGGAAGGGAAATTGGGTAAGTGCCACGCTTTCTCGGCGATGGCCTCGAAGGCAAAAACGTGATGAGTAATTTTAGAGCAGCCGCTAATTGTCCTTTCCATCAACAGGAAAAACCCCACAAGTGTAATCAATGTGGGAAAGCCTTCAATAGGAGTTCCACGTTAAACACTCACATTAGGATCCATGCCGGGTACAAGCCATTCGTGTGTGAATTTTGTGGCAAAGGATTTCATCAAAAAGGTATTTGGACCAGGCGGTGTTTTTGACCTCTGCGTGTGCATCTGTTCATTTAAATCACGGATGAGATAATCTGGGGGGTGGGGTGGAAATTACCATTCTTTTTCGAAAGGAAAACCAGATTGCCTTCGCACCTTGCATTTTCTTAACTGGAAGAAGCAAATTCGTTCTTGGAGAACATCAAGTTAAAAACGGGAGAGCGGTGTGTATGGGGGGAGAATAGAAGAATGTTGGGGAAAGAATTTCCCCCCGGTTCTAAGCGTCTGATCAAGTTTCTGCTGCCAGTCGGGACGAAGGCTCTTAGCAGAACGTCGCGATCCTTCGGCATACATAGAATCTTGCGGGTCTCCTGCATTCCAAAAAGTGGCGGCGGAATTGAGCGGACTTTGAGGCTACCAGGAGGTGACCCCTCAAACGTCCTGGGGGGAGGGGGGCTTCCCCTGGGCTGCAACGAAAGACTAGTTCAGTCCTGTCACTTGTCATTAAAACCTGTTAAAGTGAATTCAGTCCTCTTAGGGCACAATCCAGCCAGAATGAAAGCACTTCGAAAGATCATGACAACGACAGCAGCTCCTTTGATGTCAGTGGGAAAGTAAAACCCATGTTTCCGCGCATCCCGGTTAAATCAAGCAGATGTCAAAGTGCTGAACTTGGGCTGGATCGTGTCCTTCGCCTGAAATTGAACCGGCAGACCCTGACTTTTTCGAAGGGCGCCGCTGGAAGAAGCTCGCCGGCGGCTTTGCTGTTTTTGTTTTCCTTCGCCATTCCCAAACTCCATATAGTCTCCTAAACGGGAGGAGTTTGGGAAAATAAACTTCCGAAAGAGCCGAGCACGATTACTCCCTCGAGGTGTCGCGTCCCGGTCCCCCCCTCGCCGGTCCTCATCCAGGTTCTCCCATTTGCTCTGGGTCAGGACGCTGACCCGGCCTCTAATTTTTTAATTCATTAGTGGCATCGCGGCGTGGCCGTGACACAGATTGAGTGTGACAACTCCTTGGCTGTCCCTTGCAGGACACTTTCTAATGAAGTCGTGCAAGAGAAGCGCTTGCTGCAACGCCGGGAAACCGCGCCCAAGAAAGCGGGGCGGGGGGAGCCGCCGCCGGCACAGGCGCCGAGCTCGCAGGCCATTTGCATCTTCAGAGCCGCGGACGTCTCTGATATGTCCTCCCTTACCTCCGGAGGGAAAGAGGACAGCCGGCGAATTAAAGACCCAGGGGCTGACTTGGCTCGTTTGAACCTGGGTTTTTGATTGCTTCCTTCCTTGCTTGCTTTCTGGTGCGGCCCCAGCAGCTTGGTTCAGGGTCTCGCGCGAACCCGGAGAAGCGGTCAGCTCAGGAGCCAAGCGAAAGGTCTCCGGAGGCTCGTGAAAGGAAAGGCCGCCCCTCCTTCTTGAAACGATTCTGCCGCTTTCCAACCTTTCTCTCTCTCTCTCTCTCTCTCTCTTTCCCTCCCTCCCTCCCTCCCTCCCTCCGACAGGGAACTACAAAAACCACAAGCTGACCCACAGCGGCGAGAAGCAGTACAAGTGCAGCGTCTGCAGCAAAGCCTTCCACCAGATTTACAACTTAACCTTCCACATGCACACGCACAACGACAAGAAGCCATTCACGTGCCTCACCTGCGGCAAAGGCTTCTGCCGGAACTTTGATTTAAAGAAGCACGTGCGGAAGCTGCACGACCCGGCCGCCGCCGCCGCCGTGGTGCCTTCTGCCAAAGAGCTCTCTAGGACCGGACCAAGCTAAAAAGGCCGGAGCGCAGCGCGCGCGCTCGGCCGGCGGGCGGGCGGTGGTCTTGCTCGGCTCGCCAAGACTTGGAGCGATCGAAAGGCCGGGGAAGGCCACAAACAAAGCCGAGGGAAGGACCGGGT